TTATGTGTGTGTGTGTGTGGCCAGCTCAGCCCACCAGGGGGCGGGGCTGGCTGGCATGTGGTGCTGGGGGATTGAACCGTGGTCCCTGTGCTTTGGTAAGTTTATTCTAAGTAGGTGCTTTAGACCACTGAGCCATCTCTCCAGCCCCAACTTTTTAGGTCTTAAGTCACACTTAGAACCCATTCTGGCTTCTATAAACCAAGATGTTAATTATAAAGACAGTTTCTCATAAAAATGCGTTTAAAATTTAGATGTGTTTCATAGATCCATGTCTAATTTACTCTGGTATGTGGTATGAAGTAGGCCTTAGCCTCACCTTTTCCCCCAAATAACAAACCTGGTGTTTTAATACCTTTTCTTTGTGTGTGTGGTACCGGGGATTGAACTCAGGACCCTGCACTTGCCAGGCAAGTGCAATACCATTTTTTTCTTAATGCCACCAATTGGAAATATTGTACTTGTAAATTTACCTACATAATTCAGCCCATATTTTAAAACAAAAACCTAACACCTTACTGAGGGAGACCAGATTTTTAAAAGCGGGGGAAGACCTATAAGGTGGGACTCTCGGCACAGGGCAGCCTTGATGCAAATGTAGCATTCTCTGTGGCAAAGATAACGGGTAACTTTTTGTGGTGTGCCAGAGAATAGGTCACCAACAAGTACACAATCGCAGAGTTTTACGTCAATTTATAATCACAGAACCTGTACTTTGACAGGGGCCCCTCCCGCTCTGCATTCAAGGGCCGAGCTGAACCCAGGACGATGGGATTTAGCTGGGGAATCGCGAATAACAAGAGCGTGACAACATCCTTTGCTCACATTTAATTTTTTATTTTGATTTTTTAATGCTGCACAACACAATATTTATTTTATTTGTTTCATTTATTTCATTTATTTTTTATTTCTGTTTGCTGCTGTTATTTTAGTTACTGAAAGTGAGAGGGAACTTTTGTGGCCTTTTTCTGTAGGCCGCCTTAAGCTATCTAAATTTGGAACATCTAAGCAAGCAGAAGGGAAAAGGGGGTTTCACAAAAATCACTCAGGGAAAAGGAAAGGTTGCTTTGTTAATCATGCCCTATGGTGGGTGATTAACTGCTTGTAAATTACGTTTCACTTTTAATTAATTGTGCTTAAGGCTGTCATTAAGGTTGAAGTTCCCTTCTTAAAGCAGCTCGTACTGACGAAGGTGCATGCGCTGGATGATGTCGCGGCAGTCGTTGAACACACGGCGGATGTTCTCAGTGTCCACAGCGCAGGTGAAGTGAGGGTAGCAGTAGTGGCGCCCATCTCCACTAGCAGTGCTGATTCTCAGAAACTCATCTCTAATGAAGTACTTGGCCCGGGTCACGCGTGGGTCCTCTCCGGGCTCGGGAGTAGCATCCTCAGGAGTAGTGTAGCGAGCAAATTCTGGAAAGTAGTCCTCAATCTTTGATTTCCCAGCAAGGACTTTCTCAGCGAGCAGATCTTGCTTGTTGAGGAACAGAATCACAGAGATGGTACGCAGCCATCTGTTGTTCCAGATGCTCTTGAAGAGGTTCAGAGCCTCCTGCAGGCGGTTGGTCTGGTTGTCCTCCCGGATGACCATGTTGTAGCTGCTGCTGGCCACCACGAAGATGATGGCAGTCACATCATTGAAGCATTGGATCCACTTGTGGCGCTCGTCGCGCTGGCCACCCACGTCGAACATGTGGAAGTTGACTTTGTCCACCTGGAACTTGGTCTCAAAGATTCCAGAGGTCAGGACACGGCAGCGAAGCAGGTCCTGGTCGCTGGGCACATAGTCGGCCTGCTTGATGACATCAATCTTGTCCAGAAAGTACTGGGCACAGTCGATCAGCTGGTACTCATTGGAGCGCTCATAGCAGGCGCGGACTCCTTCGTCCTCCCAGAGAGCCTTGGCATGCTCGTAGAATTCAGGTGGGAAGTCAAAGTCAAGCACATTCATCACGCTCAGAATGTAGTCCACTCTGAACTGGTTCTCGGGGTTGACCAGCTCCACGGGGGCCACCAGGTTGCTCATGGCGGCCACGATGGTTTCAATAGCCTCCTTCAGGTTGTTTTTGATGTCCTGCACTTTGGTGGCCTTCTCACCATCGCTGTTGCTCCTTGCAGCCTGCGGGTCCTCCTCGCCGCCCTCTCCATTAAACCCATTAACATGCAGGATCCTCATTTGCTTCACAATGGTGCTTTTACCAGATTCTCCAGCACCTGAATCCATGAAAACAAGGAGAATCTGGACGGCGTCCTCCATTAGTGACGCCGGATGGGGATGGGTCCCCTTTTGGAAGGGGACTCCGGGGATTTGTCGCGGCGGGTGGGCTTTTTTGGCTTGCAGCATGTTATCATTTCTTTGTTGACTTTATCTGTTGGTAAGAGTGGGGGATTGAGGTTATCCATTATTGTTATATTTGGGTCTTTCTGTTCCTTTATGTCTTGTAGTATTTGCTTTATGACACTTGACACACCAGTTGTCACTGTATGTATTGTATTTACAATTGGTTTTTTTAAAACCATTTTTTAAAATTTTATTTATTTATTTATTTATTTATTTATTTATTTATTTTGGCAGAACCGGGGATTGAACTCAGGTCCTTGCGCTTGCCAGGGAAGCACTTATTCCACTGAGCCATCTCCCCAGCCCCTTATAATTGTTTTATTTTGGTTGGTTGTTCAAGTACTTCTCATTCCTTTTGGGTTCTCTTTGTATAGAATATTGTTTTCCACCCTTCATTCTCAGATTTTGTCTTTGCCTGTGAATTATGCTTTTTTGCAGGCAGCAATTGGTTGAATCTTTTTTAAGTTATAATATTTATATTAGTAAGTTAGTCTAATCTACCAGTCTTTTAATTGGAGAATTGAGACAATTTACTTTCAGGATTCTTTGAAAGGTATGTATTAGTTCTAGTCATTTTGTACTTTTTCAAATATTTGATTCTTTTTTTTTCTTACTTTGTTGTCTGTCCTTCCTCTTCTTTCTTTTTTTTTTAAACTTTTTTTTTATTTTTTATTTTTGCAGTACCGGGGATTGAACTCAGAATCCTCCACTTGCCAGGCAAGAGCTTATTCTACCAAGTTATCTCCTCGGCCTGTTTCTCTTCTTTCTGTGGGATTCCTTTCAGAATGTTCTGCAGTGCTAGTTCAGGGGTCATGAATTTCTTTGGTTTATCCATATTTCTTCTTAGATTCTAAAGGAGAGTTTTTATGGATATAGTAATTTAAGTTGGAGATTGTTTTGATTCAGGTCTTGAAATATATCATTCCATGCTCTCAGAGTTTCTGCTAGAATCTGCAGTTTTTCTGACTAGTTTGCCTTATTAATAACATTTCTTTTTGTAAGTTTTCCATATTCTTCCTTCAATCTGTACTCTTGGTATTTGAATTATAATATATTCTTTTCTGGTTATGCCTATTTTAGAGTATTAAATGTTTCCTATAACTGGATGCCCATAGCTTTCCCAAAGTTTGGGAAGTTTTCTGCTGTCATTTTACTGAATAGATCTTCTCTGTCTTTAATTTGTACCTCAGTACCCACTACTACACTGAAGACTGTAAACTTGGTCTGTTAAATTGTGCCTCAGGGTTCTTGGGTGCTGGTTTATAAATCATTTCGCTTTTGCTTTATTAGAGTTGAATGTTGTATATATCCACCTGTCTTTTATCCCTGAAATTCTGTCTCCTGAGCCAGTCTTTTAATTGGAGAATTGAGACAGTTTACTTTCAAGATTCTTTGAAAAGTATGTATTAGTTCCAGTCATTTTGTTCTTTTATTCCCCCTATCTCTGGTTGGTTGGTTTTCAGAACTACTGTGTCTTTGTTGAATTGTTCTTTCTTGTCCTGTATACGCTTCCTTAATTCATTCAGCAGGCTTTTTTTGGTCTCCTCTTTGAAATTATTGTTTTAAAAGTTAATCTTTTTCTTTGGCATTTTATCTATTTTAGTATATTTGGATATGTGTCCTGAACAATTAGGAGCCTTTGGAGGGTCTTGTTGCCTTAATTTTTCCACTTTTCTTATGTTTCAGTGTTACTTAGGTATCTGTTGGGATGGATTATGTGAGGGTCTTCCTAGTGAGCAATCTTTTGAGAGGTCAGTTTCCCTATACCACTCAGGAGAAAACAGATTGCAGAAACTGCATCACAGAGCCAAACCAAGTGTTGAAATATAGTAAAAACTAAGGGATTAACTGTTAAAACCAATAATGACAGAAAAGAAAAGGGTAATGATAATAAACAAAAGAAAAGGGCTAGCAGTGAATAGAGGTTAAAAAATTGAGAGGAATAAAAATGAATATGGAGCTGGTTGTGGTGGCACGTATCTATAATTTCAGCACTCAGAAGGCTGTGGCAGGATGATTGCCTTCAGTTTGAGGACAGCCTGGGCTACGTAGTGAGTTCAAGGCAGCCTGGGCAACATAGTGAGATCCTGTCTTACACCCGAGTCCCAAAAGACAGTAGGAAAAAAATAGAAGAAACAACATTTTTAAAAGGAGAGTGAGAAAAGAATAACTGATAAAATCCAATTAAAGAATAAAAAGGTGTATACAGTTAGATAAAGATAAGGAAAATTAAAACAAGAAAATGAGTCAAAAGATCCCTGTACACAGAAATGCCAGATTGGTGGCTTCTTTCCGGGACCCATAATATTGAAATCACCAGGTGTGAGGGACACCTGGAGCCTGTGTATTTCCTGTGCTGTGCCCACTTCCCACTCCATGGTGTCTTGCCATATCCTTAAGTGATCTTTCCTTTTTTTTTTTTTTTTTGTTTTGTTTCCCTGTATTTAGTACAGATTCTACAGAGACTACAGGATCTCACTACACAGATTGGACTCATAGTGATTCTCCTGTTTTCAGTCTCCCAAGCCCTGGTATTACAGGTGCATGCCACCACGCCCAGTCTCAGTTGCCATCTCAGTGTGCTACAGGGGTGGGACTGGCACGGCTCGCCAGGGATTGAACCCTGGGTACTGTGCTGTGCCTAAGCAGGCACTTAAGTCCACTGAGCTATCCTTGCTTTGTTTTGAGAGGACCTTTCTTTCTTTCTTTTTTTTAGCATAATTCCAGACCAGGAAACTTTTATTAATTATCTTTGAGAATTTAAAGCTTCAGACAGTAACAATTCCAAGTGTTGATATATTTCAACCTTCCTTTACAGGGGGAAATATATATATATATATCTCCTCCACAAAATCTTCCAATCAACAAGTGTCCGTCATGCTCAACCCTCTTTCCCAGAGAAGTCACTTTTCCAGTTCAACACATCGTTTTTCTCAATCTCATGCCCCAAGTTTGCTTCACAATGCTCTCCAAGTCAAAATAATGGCCATAGATGGAGACAGAGTGAACAGAAGACAAAAAGGGCCCAGGGTCTGCGTCACAGTCAAGGTCCATCATCCATTTTCAGCACCAAGCAGCAAGATCTTCATCAAGTCTTGTGTGTAGGGACAGACAGCGCCATCAAGAGTTTGCATGACTGCTGAGTTCAGTCAAATATGTGACAGCAAAAATATAGCACCGATGAAAGATGAAGGGCCCATGGCCTCACATGCAAATTATAACCTCCACAGTAGACTGGAGCTGAGATTACAACTTCTAAGACATCAATACAGAGAGGAGGGAAAAGAAATCACAAAATTTTGGCCACATTATAAACCTAGAGTGTCAAGACATGGACTTAGCCAATATTTAAGAAAAAAAAAAACATCAAAACCTCAACCTTTTTACCATCTTTATTGAAGTTATACAAAAAGAATCCCCAACAGTGAAAAAATACATTATATACAAAAACACTTTTCCCCTGGGAGGAAGGCTCTATTCCCGCTCTCAACATGCAGTGGTCTCGACAGCAGCTCCTGCCTCCATTGTGCCCTCCGCTGCAGCGCAGCTGTTGGCTTGTTTCTCAGCCTCCTCCTCCATGCTTTCTGAAACTTTTTTCCACTGGGGACTGCATCCCCGCTGCCTCCATTGACTTCCAGCTCTTGTTTGACTTTCTTTGCATCATCTTTCCGGGGACTCTCGTCCTCTGGTTTCCTCTTCTTTCTCACAAGGTGGGAAATATCAGTCACACAATTTGATGAGGAAGCACCATCTGTTCTTCTACTGGCAATCATAGATACTGAAGAGCCTCCTCCACTAGAAGTAAAACCCGAAGTAGAACTCTCCACCAGAGTAGCTTTTAGTGCCAATTCAGCTACGTTCCCACTACGCTGGGACTCCTTTGCATCTTCTGTCTTCTCTCTGATTTCAGGTAGCAGTTCCTTCAATTCCTCAATTTCTTTCTCATATTCAGTAGGTGATCCTTCAGCCTCCTTCATCTGTTCCTTTAGTACAGCCATCCTCTTCTCAATGACTTCAGTAGATTTGCTGAACTGTGCCACTGCCTCGTCATACTGAGAGTTGTATCCATAGGCCAAGCCCAGCTGATAATGAGTCTCTTCGAGGAGATGGTCATGTGCTTCCAAGTACTGCTCCTGCAGGGTCAGGCAGGCCTGAAACTCCTCCAAAGCTTGGACATAGTTCTCAGATTCAACACTAACTCCTCCAAGTTTAAGATGTGCCTGTGCAGCATAAAGCTGGGCTTCTTTTGTTTCTTGCCTTTTAAAAATGATCTTTGCTAAATCCAGCATATCCCAGGCAAGCTCTAGATTCCCAATGTCTTCCTCTTCACTTTCTTGAACAGACTTGTTTTCAACAATGGATTCATTTGGTATTTCTTCTGCCTTGTCATTTTCTTTACCTTCTTCTTCTGAGCCTTCAGTTTCTTCACCCTCTTTCATCTGTTCTTCTCTCTCTTGGGTCTCTTCATTAGCAGCTGTCTTAACTTTGTCGTCAGGTGCTTTCTCAGTAGCCCTCTGGTCTACTTTGGTTTCAACCCCATCTCCAGCTGCCTTAGACTCTTCTGCAGGCAGCTTCATCTCCCTCCTGGCTAGGTACTAACTCTGCCCTGACCTCCTCTTCTAGACCTGAATCACCTTTCATTTCTGCAGAAGTCTTTGGTTTGATCTGAGTCTGATCTCCTACAGCTGATGGTCCACTGCCTATACCTTCCTGAGAGAAAACTATGGGTTCCTGCTCTGGCTTGTCAGAGACTCCCAATCCAGACTGGAGCTAAGGCCTTTGTGGCCTCTGTTGTCATTACTGATGACTCTTCAAAAGAAAGCACTTCTTGTCCTACCAGTTGCTCTAGCAAAGGCTTTCCTGGCTCATTTTC